ATCAATGGGAGCCCTGAACTTGTTTCTCTGCAACGAGACGGTCCCATCTGGGGGTAATAGGAGACAATGACACCCGAAGTGTGTTGCTTATGTTCAGTCTACTCTGTTGTTTTGTTTTTGTTGCTGTCACTGCAGAAAAACCCGCTTCACACAGATAAGATGTCGGAAATGGCAACAGGGTTTTCAGTGCTGTGGTGGCGATCTCAGGGTATTCTGTCATGACTTTAATCCAGAACACCGGCAGAGTTGTTGTCTCGAACATACTTTTAAGGCCGCCGTCATTTGCGATCTCCAGCAGTTGATCTTCTTCTTGCACAGACCTGCTGGATTCACCTGGTTTGTTGACAGATGGGTTGCGGATCCATTCCTTGGCCGTTCGTGGGTCCTTTGTGGTTGGGAAGTAGCGCTCGAACTCTTTTAAAAGCAAAGACAGGTGATCGTGCACCAGCTGGGAGAATGAAGGCTCAGGCTCAGTCTCACCCAAAATCCCCGCTAATGTTTGAAACATGTCCAAAATGCCTCTGTTGACGCGCCGTCCCCACAAATTCAGTTTGGCTTTAAATGCAGCTACTTTATCTGTCAACTTGAAGACAGTTGTCATTTTCCCCTGAAGTGACAAATTGAGTTCATTGAGCAGGCTGAATATGTCCACAAGTAAGCCAGTTTTGGCGCTCAAGTAACCGAGAGAATACGGTCATTTTTCAAAATAAAAGAACATTCAGACTCAGATAATAAATAAAACGGAAATAATTAATGATTTATTGTGCGGCCCGGTACCAATTGATCCACGGACCGGTACCGGTCCGCGGCCCGGGGGTTGGGGACCACTGCGCTGCAGTATTTCCAACACGCAGGCCACGACAATTATAAGAGATGACCCGCATGTTTTTATTAGGAGAGCGCAGCCGTTGCTCCTACAGACCCCGTCACCACATGGTTCTGGATGATGTCAGCAGTCCCCTTCCGTGTTGCTTTCCTTGGCTTATAATATCGCCGCACCAGTGATCCCTCTGGCCACAGCTCCGAATTGTACACCTCAGTGACGTCCTCACACTCAATGCTGACTTTAAAAGAGCTGCATCTGGTATTCCCAGTCACAATACGTTCACACTGAACATGACGGCCAAGTCTCTCTTTAAGATAGTTACAAAGTGTCTCAGCATCAAGATCAGGAAGAAATTTGGTGGCAAATACATTAACAATCTCTGAATTAACGGTGTAATCAAGTAGAGGAGGCAAAGTCATTAGGTATTTTGGATAACAGGCTGAAGTGGGCTAAACAAAATCGATAAGATATTAAGTCTGGCAGTAGTAGAGGTGTTCTAAATATCTGACAAGCAAAACAATTAAACTAGTAATGCAAGATCCCATATTTACTGTATGAAAACATAATGAATGTGAAAACAGATGTTTTTGCTAGACAAGCAGCTGGAAACCAGTGTATATAGCCTGTTGCCTTGAACCAGAGCTACGTTAAATCATACAGAGTAATGTGTGAAAGGAATGGAGTATCAAGCGGAAATAGTGGCTCTAGTTTTAAGTTACAACAACAACAACAAAAAAATATTTACTGGAAAGAAATTTCAGATAAAACAGCTTTTCTTTAAAAATATGAGTTTTTGAAGCTCTGTGTTTGTCCTGGTGATCTTTAAGTGTTAATGTTATTGTGTAGCTTGTTACAGGTGCAATATATTAGTTTAACGTTGATGGCCGGTTGAATGTAAGGGCATAATGTAGTATGTCATTTATGTTTATTTATTTTATATTGTAAAGACAGTAATTTATGTGTGTATTTGTAAAAGGACCCCAGGAAAAATCATTACTGGATATTGGAGATTTGTAGCTTTAAGTTTTAAATACAATATTTAGAGCATTAGCTTTCTGTATACAATTCATTTTCAGAATCCTAACGTCAATTCTCATTTGGTTATTTTATAGCACGTTAATTACAAAAAATCATTGTGGGCTAAGGTTAATGAGCCAGGTTCAGAGCATCAGGATGGAGGCCAACAAGTTGGAAATGCAAAATAAATGTAGCCAAGACTGAATTAGTGCGTTCAAGCCTATAAAATACGTCAGTTTGCTTCATTATAACGTTCCTACAGTGATATTATCGTTAACTGTGCTTTAACAGAGGTATCTTAAAACTCTTTTCCAAGTCAAAGTAGGCTGCCTAGTAAGTATCCACGTGTTTGATTTGGCTTTGACTGTTCTCATCACGACACTATCAAGTGAATTGCAGTAAAATAAGTCGGTGGTAGTTCACTGAAATAAATTATAACTAATTGTAAGGCTCAATTCGTTAACTGACCTGTTGAGTCCAAGTTTTTTTTTTTAAACTGGCTTTAGGGGTAGGTCCTGCATGGAAATCCTTAAATTGCCGTGAGCTGTGGAGAAGTAAACTGCCCTTAACGTTGCGGATGTGCGTGAAGTGAAAGGTGGCGCGACAACAAAAACCGTTTGCGTTTCCGGAAAACCAACCCTCTCGTTAAACCAGCAGTGAGCTCCACAGACGCGTATGCACAGATTGAAAAAATAAATACTAAATGTGCTGGAAGTTGACAAACTTTGCATGCAACACTGAAGATGCAAACTAACAATTTGCATGTGAAAAAAAAACGATGGAAATCTCACAACGTCGTGAGTGACATAAAATTATCAGAGTTTAGTGCAATTCAGATTAAGTACATGACAAAATTCTAAGGAAACAGGAAAGTAGCAGGATGCATCCCTCCTTAAGTGGCAGGGACATTACCAAAAGGTCATTAAATTGCGTAAAGTGTGAATTAAAGTACTGGAACAAACAGTTAAAACAGCGTAAGACTGAGACCAAATTATAAAATTGTGCCAGTTTAAAGTAAGCATGCAAAATGTTGTATGTTCAGAACAAACAGACGTAATTAAAGGAGCCATATGAACGTACCTGTTATAACACCTGTCTTGTAAGTGTTGGAATGATTCAGGTGCCACTGCTGTATCCGTGTTTCTAGAATATGTAAAGTTAATGTAAGCAGGAATATGTCAGTATTTGAGGCTACAGCATTGATTAAATATTAATAAAGGTGATTCAAGTGAAATTATACAAAATACACCTACTTCAAATTCTGCGTTTGCAACGTGAAGTCTTTCGTGGTTCCTAGTTAACATACCATTCTTTGTTCAAATATAGACTATGTATTCTGCATAGCCTTCAAACAGATAGCTTATAAAGCTCTGGGTGCAGCAGCAGCTCCACCTGCAGGTCTGTGGGTGGTGGACAGGATCAAAACAAAAAAAGGAGTGACAGAGACTACATAGTAACAAGAAAAAAAACGTCTCTCACCTTCAGGTAAAGTGTTGAAGAGTACCTAAGTAATACACAAATACAGTGTGATCATGATACTTTATTAACATCCAGTGGAAACTTCACAGGATACCCAGCAGTACTTTAAATTATAAGCTACATACGTTGGCAAACAGGTGATCCTCGGCCCATCTTTGATCTTAAAGGGCTCGGCCTTTCCTAGATGCCACTGTTGTACCAAATCATAATTGCAGTCACCTGTTGACATCACCTGCTTCAAATGGAATCATTTCATTGTTTTACCTCATCACTAGCCCTGAATTGCAACCGCCTCAACTTTTTTTAGATTATGTTACAGGCATCAGAATCGTTGTTTATTTAGAACAAAAAATTAAACTGATGAGGTATCACATCAAACAATGTGCTGCTGTACTGTTTTAAATGTAATAGAGGACACATAATTTACAATTCACTCTTTTCTGTTTTAATTTTGATTTTATATACCATCCCAACGTTTTCTGATTTGGGGCTGTTTTTTGTGCGGATTTCTGTGCATTTCAATGGTCTTTCCCGGCAAAAAGTAAAAAGCCACCAAAATAAATGCCTTTTAAATTTAGCACAGCAATGTGTATTTTCCTGGAAATTCTTCTTCTTCTTCTTCTTTCGGTTGTTCCCGTTAGGGGTCACCGCAGCAAATCATCTGTTTCCACCTAACTCTATCCTCAGCGTCCTCTACTCTCACCAATTAAGCAGGCTTTTGAGACCTAACCTGTTTTGCTGTTTAAACTTTAGTCATGGTTAGTATTTGTGTTTGCACCTTACTGTTTTTTGCTAGTGTTATTGTTTTGTGTGTTTTTACTGTACAGCACTCTGGTGCTCTTGGAGCTGGAGAGCGCTATAGAAATAAAGTTTATTATTATTATTATTGTGCAGCAACAGTTTCCTCTTCATGACTTGCATTTTTTGTTTTAGGAAAGTTTCCTGATGCTGTGAATTTCTGGCTCGGAGAAGCAAGTGCCATCACCTCCAGTAAGAGTCGAGCTCCTTACATCTGTCACATACTGTGTGTTTGTTGTGTATAAACTGGTTGTTTTTCTGTCTCAGTGCACAAAGATCACTATGAGAATCTGTACTGTGTCATTTCTGGAGAGAAAAACTTCATCCTGCTGCCGCCCACAGATCGACCCTTCATCCCCTATGGTAACCAGCCTTCCCACTCTCCATCACTTACAGTAACCATAGTAACAATCCTCCTTCCCTTTCAGTAACCACAGTTCTCACTCTTCTTCCCTATGGTATCCATAGCAATCATTTTGTATCCCCTACAGTAACCATAGCAGCCTTCTTGTATCCCTATGGTAATCACAGCAACCATTCTATTAGGATAACCTTGTAACCACACAGTGCATTGTACAATAACCATAACAACCACCTTCTATGATCAACAGCAGATACGGTTTCCCTTGGCAACAACCCCACGGCACCATCCAGTACAGTCGCCATTATCCATCTCTGTTACTATAGTAACCACTGGCAGGGCAGTGGCATGTAAATCTGGACATCATCAGCGTAAAAATGGAAATGAACATTATGGGTAGCTATAATTACCGCAAGGGGTGCAATATATAATGAGAAGAGCAATGGAGCCAGGGTAGAACCTTGAGGAACGTCTGAAGTGAGAGAAGCTATATTAGAGACACCATCACCAATACTGACCGAAAAAGTTCAATCGGTTAAAAAAGAAGAAAACCAGTTTAAGGCAGTGCCTTTAAGCCCAACGAAATGTTCAAGTCTTGACAAGAGGATAGAATGATCAACAGTATCAAAAGCTGCATATAGATCCAACAGAACTAATAGCACAGGACATTTGGTATCGAGAGCCATAGTGATATCATTGTGAATCTTAAGTAACGCTGATTCTGTACTGTGGCAGGCTTAAAGCCTGATTGAAACTTATCAGCAATATTTGCACAATCTAAGTGTGACTGCAACTGGGTGAATACGATTTTTTTTCCAGAATTTTGGACAAAAAAGGAAGAAGAGAAATTGGACGAAAAGATGATAATAGAGAGGGATCCAGATTAGGTTTTTTGAAAAGTGGTCAAACTATCGCATGCTTAAGCGCAGTCGGGACCACACCGGCATCCAGAGAGAGATTAATGAACGTGACCAGGGAGGGGCCGAGCACGTCAAAAACCTCCTTGGAAAACCTGGCAGGAAGCGGGTCAAGGGGTGAAGAGACCGGTTTTAAGTGGGCTGTGGTCTTTTAATTGACATAAAGAAATTGAAGTGAAGGAATTAAGAGTATGTAAAACGTGGGATCCAGGCTGAGGATGTGCTGGGGGCTTAGGCATGTTATGCCTAAGAGCCCCAACCTTATCCCTAAAATATCTTAGAAATTGGTTGCACAGAACAGGCGAACCCTCGGTGGGTACTGCACCAACTGGATCAACAACATAATGTATAGTTTTAAAAAATACTCTCGGGTTACGATTGTTTGTCGCTATAGTGTTAGACAAGAATTGAGTTTTTGCCTCTTTTACAGCCTCCTGATATGCAAGGAGGCTGACTCTAAAAATGTCCAGTGAGACGTGCAAGCCGTCTTTTTTCCATTTGCGTTCGGCTTGCCTGCAGCTCCTCGGCAAATCCCAGGTAGTGTCATTTAGCCAAGGAGTAGTTGTGTTGCCAGCTCTTCTCATCCTAAGAGGCGCAATGGAGTCCATGATCCGGGCACAAGTTGAATTCAGCGAGGAGAGAAGTACGTCAGGGCATGTCGGAGGATTTTGATCCACTGAAGAAGTGAGAGTCTAAAAATGCAGCAGCAAAGTCGGAGGGGGTAGTGGAAGTAATAATCCTGCGACGTAGCCGTGGGGCCACCGGTTTGGGCAGCCTTATTGTAGCGGGACTTCAAAACGAATAAGGAAGTGGTCAGATATGGCTATATTTGCCACATCCTTAATAGTAACAGATAGACCCCGAGAAATGACGAAATCTAATGTGGGCCCCCCGTGTGTGTGAGTGGGACAGACTACTGACTGACAAAGG